GGCTCTGTCACTCAAACACACACTCACACACAAGCATATATACCGGGGTGGGTTCTACTTACCTTTACTACTGGTTTGCAAAGGGATCACGCACGCAGATCGTCTATGACAACATCCGGGGCAGTGGGCGGAGCCTCCTACAGGTTTTACTACCGGTTCTTGTAAACCGGTCCGAACCGGGGGCAATCCACCGATATATACCGTATTTTTCAGAGTATAAGATGCACTTCCTCCCCCCCCAAAAGTGGGTGAAAATTTTGGTGTGTCTTATATAGAGAATGTTGAGGTGGGGAGGAGGGGAGTTAGTGTGGCACCGACCAGCTGTTCTAGAATGGGTCACAGCGATGGTGGCAAATGGGCAGTGGCAAATGGGTGGTGGCAAACAGGCCGCAGTAAACGGGTCTCGCCGGTGGCAAACGGGCTGCGGTGACAGGCTGTGGCAGCAGCGAACGGGCCAGGACAAATGGGCTGCGGTGAAAGCGAATGGGCTGTGACGGCAGCGAATGGGTGGTGGTGAACAGGCTGTGGCAAATGGGCCAGATGAATACCGGATGGATGCTGGGAGGCAGATTTTTTTCGTTTTCCTCCCCAAAAAAGATTGCGTCTTACAGTCCGGAGCGTCTTATACTCCGAAAAATATGATATGTATGTAGGCTTTGCAGTTGGTGTTTACCGATTATGCGATCGTTCGTGCAACGTCCTTTCTGTGGCTCTTGCCAGGAGTTAATTTTGTAGGTTGTTGTCAGTGCTTTTCCCCAGAATTAAACAGGAAGGTTGGCATCTGATGCTTCTTTACCACGAATACTAGAAATCCCAACTTTTTCTATGGTCCTTTGGCCTACGCTGGAGTATACAGCTAGCCCTCGACTTACCACAATTTGTTTAGTGACCAAAGTCACCAGAAAAAAGTGACTTATGACCGTTTTTCACACTTACCACCATTGCAGCATCCCTGTGATCACGTGATCAAAATTCAGATACTTGGCAACTATTGTTGTGTCCCGGAGGGAGGGTGATCCCCTTTTGCGACCTTTTGTTGACCCAGCAAAGTCAACGGGGAAGCAAGAGTCACTTAACAACCAGTTTACTAACTTAACAACTGCAGGGATTCACTTAATAACCCCGGCATGACAGGTCGTAAAATGGAACAAACTTTACTTAACAGTCTTGCTTAGCAATGGAAATTTTTGGCTCAATTGTCGTTATTCGAGGACTGCCTGTATGGCCTTGAGGCCCGGTGTTCATGGCCCGGTTCGTTCAAACACTCCTGTTTCTTTGGTCCTTTCCTCTTCACCGTTAGCTCACAGAGCTCTAGAATCACACCCAAATGTATTTTCTGCTATGCCACCTCATCTTTGATTAGCCATTTTCCTATTTGGAAATGGATTATGCAGTCCATTCTGGTATATATCTGCTTTCGTTATCACTACTACTTCCCAGCAGGCAGGGATCATTATCCTTAATGTACTATACAAATTGTTGTGCATCGGCTCCAAGAGACAGACTGACAGGCTCCGGCGGGTTTGTTGTGATCCGCCAGCAGCCTGGAAACCTGGCAGAGGAGTCAGACAGTGAGGAGGCTGGGGAGGACAATGGGCCAGTCCTGGAGTCAGGGGAAGGCCCGGATGAGGGCTCTGCATTGGAGGCAGAGATGGGGCCAGGGCCATCTGGGAGCGATGCACGGACTCCAGAGCCTCCAAAGGCAAACAGCAGAGAGGCAGAGGAACAGGAGGAGCCTGTTCCTAGTGCATGCATTTGAAGAGTTGCCAGAAGGCAAGAGCAGCAGAAGAAAAAAGGACAACTTGGGAGTAAGGCCAGGAGATGATTGGCCACTCCCATAAGGCTTAAAAGAGCAGCAACGAGCGGTTGGGTTCTTTGTAGAAAAGCAACGTTGATTCCAGTGCTTCTTGTCAGCTTCTCTTGAACTTTGTGGGGGTTTTGCCAAGAAAAGCCTTTGGCAGGTTGCCAAAGACATCAAAGGTTGGGGATAAGGCCGAGGGACTGGTTATGAAGAATTTTGTTTTGGACTAAGCTGAGAATGAATTAATTCTCAGGTGTTTTAATAAACTAAGTTTGTTGAGGACTGAATTGTGTTCGGTAATCATTACTTGAGCCTCAGTCACAACAGGGTTTAGAAAACAGGTATCCCATGGGTTACAATGGTCCTTGGGATTGGAGTTTCTTGTTGCTGTGGGATACAGTCATGAAGCACGACGTCACACAACCGTATCACTTGGTGACGTAAACCCCAGTCCCGATCAATATTTAGCAGGGAAGGTTATAAGGCAGGGGTGACAAACTTGATTTCACTGAGGGCTGCATCAGGGTTGTGTTTGACCTCAGAGGTGGGTAGATGGGGTGGGCGTGGCCAGGGTGGGCGTGGCCAGCTCAGCATCATGCGTATAAGGAGTGCCTGTGGCCTGAGTGCTCTACCAGCGAAAACAGGCTCCCAAGTTCCATTTCCGGCTGTGACAGCCTCCTGCAATACCTGCTAGTGAAAATGGAGGTCAGTGGGCCTGTATGCAGTCCTCCCGAGCACTGTTTTTGCTGGCAGAAGCACCATGGGCTGTTCCTTTGTTGTTTCCAGGGTGGCCCTGTGGGCTAGATCTAAGCACCCTGCAGGCTGGATCCGGCCCCCAGGCTTTGTTTGACACCCCTGTTGTAAGGGCAATCATGTGACCAGAGAGCATTGCAACTGTGGTTAGTGTGAGCCATCTGCCAAGCACCCCCGAACTGTAATTGTGGGGACGACTGAGATGGGGTGCAAGTTCACGTCTTTTCAGGGCCATCGTAACTCAATGATTGCTGAACGACTGGTTGCATCCCGAGGGTTATCTTTTAGTGACACACTGCTTTATCTTCCCCTTGGGGCAGTGGGTGTGTTTCAGCAATATGATATACAAGGATATTTCCAACTCTACAACTGGGTTGAGGTTTGTAAGCTCCTTTGTTTCAGGCCCCAAACCAAGAATGATACACAACAATTCTTCCAAGCGGAGTTCTGTATTATTTTGCAGCTACAGACAAAATTTTGCCAGGCTGAGAACTCTGCTATCTGCCTTGCCATACATTCTGTAAACTATTAGGTAGGGGCTGCCTTCCCCCTCTTTCTCTCACATAATATCTGGGCTGAGTTGCCCCTCTCCCCTGGGGGTTCCACCTGGCTACATTCCATTACTCTTTTGAGAGCCTGTCAGTGGTGGGATTCAGCCGGTTCGGGCTGGTTCAGGAGAACCGGTAATTAAATTGCTGGCTGGCCCCGCCCATTTCAGGAGTTCCCACGCGCCCCATTTTGGCTCCCAGGGAGGCCTCCTAGGACCAAAATGAGGCGCGGTGGGGGGGGGGCGGCACCCCACTGCAGCTCATTTTCGCTCCCAGAAGGCTTCAGGGAGACCTACTAGGACCAAAATGGGGTGCAGGAGGGCGATGCGTCATCCCGCCCTGCAACCCAGGGGGGTGCAGGAGGCTGAGTGTTACCTGTCACACACCCTGGCCACGCCTGCCATGGCCACGCCCACCCACTCACCCGGTTATTAGGGCAGAGAACCAGTTATTAAATTATTTGAATCCCACCACGGCTGTCATTGCATATGGATCCAATTCGAATGAATGCAACGATTCCGCGAAAGATTGCATTCAGATGTGCTCCTGTGACACTCTTCATCCTTGAAGTACAGGTTAAAGCCACTCGTGGCTGCTTTGCATAACCTAGGTTTCTCTGCAGAAATGACACCTATCTCTTGTTTTTAACACTTGGAGGTGGTAGAATACCTCACGGTTCATTCTCCAATTCTTTCCACTTCGGCTTTACCAAGAAAATTTTGCCTTTTGCTTGCTTCTCATGTCTGTGTCTCCTGTTGCTGATCATGTGGCTCTTGACCCAGGGTGCCTGGGAACCAGGCTGATACCCAGCCTCTCTTGCTGAGCCTTGAGGGTGTGTCCAGCTTGCAAATATGCCAGTCTTTTCCCATATACCTTTTGGCACTGCAATGACTTCCTTCTGCAACGGTGTTCCTCCATTAGCTTGCCTTCCACACACTCTAAGACAAAATCCAGCCTTTCCTGGAGGCAGTGGATTCCGCAGGGAGTGCCAAAATCTGCAAAGGAATGCATGTGCATCATGGTTTGAAGCCACAGCCTGTTTGTACAAGCAAAAGCCTCCTATACATATATAAAAATAGGGGATTGGGGGCTTCGTTTGCATAATGCCTCTTATCTTGCAGATTTTGACTCTCTCCCACACCTGACAGAAGGCATGCCAGTCTCTAGGAGGGTATCTAACAGCTGCACGGCCCTTTCATTTCACTCTCGTGCTTCTGGGGGTGGGAGGGAGGCTTTGCATTTTTTTTTCCAGCACTGAATGGACACACCTGCATTTTTTGTGGATTTTTATTTATTTATTTATTTATTTTGCAACCTCATCCCTAAGGCAACATTACAGGGCTCTGGCTGTATAAACCTGCCTTTTTTAACCGTCCTCCCCCCCCCCCCCGTGCATTTCACTGCAACTGCAAGAACAAATATTCAGAATCACGAAACATCACGATGCATGTCCCGCGATAATGAAATCCAGCCTTTTTTATATACATTTAAAAAATAAAAAAAAGCCACACACGCCACAAAGCGCTTAGCAAATCGCACGTCCCCGCACCACCTGTTTTCACCCCACCACCACTTGCCAGCGCATGCGCATCGGCTCCTGACTCGCCCAGACCACTTTCTCTTCCCCCCCCATCCCTCCCGCTTTCTTTCCTCAGAGCCCCGCCCTCTCCCTCGCTTCCCAGCCGGGGCTGTCTAAACCAGTGCCTGATTGAACGAGGTTTCTCCCTCCGCTCGCTTTCTGCTTTTTCTCCTCCGGCTGAGTGGGCACTCGACTCCTTCCTTCTTTCGATAAGCTCGCGTCTTCCCGGAAAGGGCGGCGAGGCAAACCGGGCGGCGCGGGAAGAGGAGGATTTTATCCGGCGAGACTCGGGGCAGCCCCTTGCCCGTCGTTTTGCGGGGGGTCTTGGCCCGCGGCTGGCGAGCGCGCGGCGTCTCCTTCACTTCGCCCTCCAGCGCGGCCTTCGAGTGGAAGCGGCAGCGGTGCGCGCGCGCCTGGCTGAGAGAGAGAGAGAGAGAGAGAGAGAGGCTCCCTCCTCGCCCTTTCCCTGCCCAGACAGGTATGAGGCCGGCAGGGGCGCCGGGCCTCGCCGTTGCCACGGTAACGGCGCGGGGACGTGGTGGGGGGGGCCTTCTCGTGACATTTCGCGGCGCGGCGGCGGCGGCGGCTCCCCCCGAAGACTCTCCGGCCCCTCCTGGGAAAAAAAAAACCAGCCCTGAGGAGTGGGCCAGGCCGCCCTTCCCCCCCCTCCCCGTACTTCCACGCCTTGGGGTGGGTGGCGTGTGAGGGGCGGGTGGGGGGAGGGGAAAGGCAACCGGTCGGAGGGCTGGAACCGCCCGGAACGTGACACACCCCCCCCCCTTTGTGAGGCGGAGGAGGCCGCCTCACAAAGCCTCGGGGGTGGGAGTGGGGAATGGGAGACCCCTCCGAGAAACGAACCGCGGGGCCCTGGAGAGGGGGGGGGGCGGAAAGAGGGGAAGCGAGGCGGTTCCCTGGGGCGTTGCCTCGCGGGGCTTCCTCGTGGCTGCCCTCGCGGGTGGGGGAGGGGGAGGAAAGTGGACGGGGCTGGGGGGCTCCCGCCTCTATTTTGGGTGGGTGGGTGGGGTGGGGGGCACGGCAGGCAATATCGCTGAGGATTTGGGATACTGGCCTGGCCCGCGCCTCCTCCATTCCCCTGCCCGGGTTGGCTGGGCTTCGCTATTAAACTCATCCTCATTAATATTTGTGTGTATGTGTGTGTGTAATATATATATATATACAAAGTATATATATATATAAAGTGTGTGTGTGTGTGTGTAGTATATATAAAAGTATATATATATATACACACACACACACACACTTTATATATATGTACTTTGTATATATTTTATATATATATATATATATATGTAGGTCTTTGGTTATTCGGGTCTTCTCCCACATAAAATTGGAAGTGTCTTGGCGACGTTTCGACAAAGTCTCATTCGTCATCTTCAGGCTGGTGTTCTCGGCTTCGTGCTTCCAGGAGCAATGTGAGATCGCAGCCTGGAAGCACAAAGCCGAGAACACCAGCCTGAAGATGATGAATGAGACTTCATCGAAACGTCGCCAAGACACTTCCAATTTTACGTGGGAGAAGACCCGAATAACCAAAGACCTACATACAAACACCCGCGAAAACCTGAGAAAACAAATATATATATATATATATATATATATATATATATATATATATATAATATATATATATATATATATATAATATAGTGTAAGTTTTCACGGGTATATATGTGTGTACAGTTAATATCTCGGGTTTCTTCCCGAGATATTAACTCTACACACACATATATATATATATTATACACACACACAACTTCTTTTATATACACTCCTCAAAAAAATAAAGGGAAGACAAGCAGAAGACATCCGAGATCTGAATGAATGAAATATCCTTATTAAATACTTTGTTCGTTACATACAGTAGTTTATACACTGCTCAAACAACTAAAGGGAACACAAAACTACGGTATGTAACGAACAAAGTATTTAATAAGGCTATTTCATTCATTCAGATCTCGGATGTCTTCTGCTTGTTTCCCTTTATTTTTTTGAGCAGTGTATATATAATCTATTTCTTTTAGAAAATTTACATTGCCGCCTACTTGCACAGCAGAAGGATATAAAAAGCACAATACGAAAGAAAGAAAAGAAAAATAATAACCCGGGTGACAACATTTCATGCTAGCCATTTAATGGGCATCCCACTCCCTTATCTCTTATCTCTTATTATTTTCTATTATATTTATTATATGTTTATCACATTTATATTTATTTTATATTATTATTTTAAGGGTTGCCAGCCAAGGGTTGCTTTGCCTTGTGCCCCCCCCCCCTGCCCTTTTCTGTGGCTTCTGTTTTTGGTCTAGGAGTAGCCAAGCCCCTTTCCTTCCTTCCGAGTCCCCTTCCTTCCTTTCTTCCGTCCAGGCGGGAGTTTGCTAGGGAGGAGGGTGGGGTGGGTGGCCGCCTGCAAAATGGCCACAGGGAGGGCCGTGTCCCCAGTCTTTTAATCGCATGCATGTGTGTGTGTGTGTGTGTTTAATGTTGGATGTTTGGGGGAAACCCCCCCCCCTTTTCTATACACATTTTGTTGTTACTCTGTTCTGTATTTTATTCCTACTGAAAAAACATAAAAGACAGATAGTCCTTGACTTGTGACCACAATTGAGCCCAGTATTTCTGTGGCTAGGGCAAGACATTTGTTAAGTGAGTTTTGCCACCTTTTGCCACCTTTCTTGCTGCGGTTGTTAAGTGAATCATTGCAGTTGAGAAGCTAGTAACACAGTTGTTAAGTGAATCTGCCTTTCCCATTGATTTTGCTGGTCAAAAAGTCGCAAAAGAGGGTCAGGTGACCTTGGGACACGGCAAGGTCATAAGTAACCGGTTGCCAAGTGTCTGAATTTTGATCACGTGGCCATAGGGATGCTGCAAAAGTAAGTGTGGAAAATGGTCATAAGTCACTTTTTTCAGTGCCATTGTCACTTTGAACGGTCACTAAGTGAGCTGTGGTAAATCAAGGACTACCTGTATATACATGAAGCTAAGACAGCCTCTTGATTTCTGCACAGGGCTGAGGCAGGTTCCCCAAACAAAGGGGTGCTTGGTTTATAAAGAGTTACACAAATATTTTCAATTGTGACAAAGTTTTTTTTTTTTAGCAATGCAACTGTTGAAATGATCTGTAAGAGAGACTAACCTTAATTTTGCTGTAATCTCCCCCTTCCCCATTTTGTAGATACTGTAAATTGGACTAAATAGCTATGAATTTTAACCAACCATGTCAGCGCCCACCAAGACGTAAGTAGGGAAAGAGTTATCGGAAGGATGTTGAAGTAATCATTTTAACTAATCATTTTATAAGCTATATTGAGGTTTGGAGGGAAGACTAATATCTAATAGAGGGGTAATTCTTAGTTTAATTTAGTTACTCAAAACAAATCTAGACCCATCTTAAATGAGTAGTTTAAAGGAATTTTCTGTAAAGTCTGTTCCTCAGTATGATCTATTTTAATATTTAAAGTTGTAGATACTTGCGAACTTTTCTAACAATTCTTTATGAGCACTTTAAGATGAGGTGGAGATGTTAAAAAGAACTTCAAGGAAAGGTGGAACACAATTATGCAATTTAACTAAATTAAGTTTTAATTACATTTCCTAGCCTTTGGGCTTAGATGTGAGGTTTCTAAATGGATTTTCTTTTAATTTTCTGTTTCTAGAAGTAATACATATTCAAAATAGGGAAGTACAGCTGCTTCTCTAATTCCTTTGTAATTACAATTACAATTTAATTGGGCAGATTGTGCTTTTTTGCTTGCAAATATACATTTTTATAAACCAGTGAACAATTCTGAAACTTGAAACATTTCAGGATGGTGACAGAAAGGCAAAGAGAAAAGAAAGTACCTTTTCATTTGTGACTGGAAGGTGCTGGTCAGGAGTTACTCTTAAAGTTATTGAAGCCATTGTTTAGTCTCTTGTCTCCTAAGAAACAAAATTAGGATGTGAAAATGCATTCCATTTAAATGTGGAAATAGAACCAATATTTTTATAGTACTTGCTAGAAAATATAAATACTGCTAGGTAGATGTATAGGTTGAATTGTTATGTCACAAAATTATTTGTAGGGCTATATGTTGATTTGGAAATAGTTCAAAAAAAAGTGCTTTGGAGAGTGCAGGAACATAAATATTATACCTGTCTGTCATTCATTAAAAAGTGTTTTTTTTTTCTGGGATTGCATGGCTGCTTTCCACAATTACATGATTCTTAAAGAAGATGTGGCTACTTTAAAAAGTTGTGGGCAGGAGCTATATCCCCAGTCCAAGGTGCTCCAAAGTACTTTTGGAATTTAAACTGAAAGTCTTTGAATTTAAGTTGGTTTTAGGCCTTTGGGAACTGGAGGACAAAGTATTTTATGTCCTTGGAATTTGGAGGATGATTTGTTCTAAACTTGTATCAGTGGGATCCTTGATGCTGTTTGAGCTTGGTTGATTTCTTGAGCATTTCATTACCCAACTAGGTAACATCATTAGTGCTAGCTCTCACTGATGATGTTACCTAGTTGGGTAATGAAATGCTGAAGAAATCAACCAAGCTGAGAGAGCACTAAGGACCCCATAGTTCAACCATGAGCTACAGATATTCTCTTCTATTGAAACGTGCATCGATCAAAACATTGATTGAATTTTAAACTCCTTGTGGAATAGAAAATTTGCTGATTTGTGTGTAATCTTATTAGTTGCGCAGTAGAAAGTAATTGGTTTGATTTTAAGTTATTGTGCTTAAAAATAAATGATGTGCATAAAATCAAGTGGGGAAGTAATGATTTAATATCTGCATTTTAGGATTTGAAGAACAGATGTGTACTTAAAACAAACGCATCCCAAACATAACATTAGACTTCTGTTGCAAGTTTAATAACATTGCAGCTAATTTCTTTGCCCATGATTTGAATGTTCTTGATTGCTTCTCTATATACCTCAGATTCATGAGTGAATAAACAGATTTCTTACTATGCAAACTTTGTAAGTCAAGAGGGTATTGGATTTCACTGGTATTATGTGGATAAATCTGCATTTGTCAACAAGATCTGGAAAAAACTTCAGCCAACTAAACATATCTTTCTTTGCAGTTGAAAAAAATGCCCAAACATATTGGTCTGGAAAAGTATGGCTTGATTATCCGGAATGTTGGTCTGAATATCTTAATCTGTAGTTCCTAGTAGTGAAAAATAGAGGATGCTGGACTACTAACAAAGCCATTTTGCTGCATCTGAAACCAATTTTCTTTTTAAAATATGTAGACTAATGTTTGTGAATTAGCATACAAATAATTGTCCTGCCTGTTCTCTTTTTTGCAGTACTAACCTGTTCATTACTGTGTTTCCATAGCGCCAATGGCTATTCCACCAGCCTATGCGGACCTTGGCAAGTCTGCCCGAGACATCTTCAACAAAGGATTTGGTATGCATATTTGTATATGAAGAATATTTGAATAGAGAATTGTCTGGTTTTTATGCTGTTGTTGCCAATAAACCCTCATCCATATTACTCAGTTCTTTTTTCCTGTAGTTGCTACTGAATTTTCATAACTGATGTGCTCAAGATGTTTTGGATAAAGATTGGTGTTTTTTTTTGATTTTGCCTTTTACTTCAAAATAAGATTTGCTATTCTTAGAATAGTGAAGTTCTGCGCAGAAGAAAATAGAAATTATTTTGATTGTAATAGTCAACCAATGGGGTTGTAGAAAACCTAACGTAGCGATTTAATGTTCTGAAAAACTGGGATGTTGGATTTCTCTTTCGGACAATACCAGCCTGGCAATTTTAATAAAGTGATTTGTAGAGTTTTGCCATGGTCCAGGGGAAAACAACATACTAAGAGTTTTATGGAACATTCATTCCTGAAAAGATTTTGCATAGACCAGCAATTATTAGTGCTTTAGATTTTCACACATAGCTAGAGCCATGATGGCGAACCTATGGCATGCGTGCCACAGGTGGCACGTGGAGCCATATCTGTGGGCACGTGAGGGTTGCCCTAGCTTAGCTCCAGTGTGCATGCGTATGCCAGCCAGCTGATTTTTGGGCCTTTCGGGCCCACCAGAAATCGGGAAACGGGCCGTTTCTGGCCTCCAGGGGGGTGAGGAAGGCCGTTTTGGCCCTCCCCAGGCTCCTAGAAAGCCTCTGGAGCCTGGGGAGGGCAAAAAACAGGCGTATCAGGCCCACCGTGCCATCATGGGCCAGTGGGAGCATGGGGGGGTTGCGCGTGCATGCACTGGCACATTGAATTATGGGTGTGGGCACGTGCGCACTCAACCCCCCGCACTCCTCACCGCTTTTGGCACGCGACGGCAAAAAGGTTAGCCATCACGGCCCTAGAGCCTGCTTTAATCCCTTTTACTAGAAATAGATATCGTGGGTTCTCCCCATTTGAAGGCGTAAATAGATAAAAATGAATGTAAACACTGCAGTGGGCTAGCATTTTGAAGTTAATAAAATAAAAAGTTCTCCAAAGAGTGTCAAAACTAAGGAAAGTTTTTTTAAAAAAATCAACCCACTATGGCCACCAGCTTCCTCAAAATATTAAATATAGCCTGTGGCCACTAATAGGTTGCCTGTTCCCCCTGAAATATAGGGATAGGCTCTGAAAAAGAATATATGTAATTTGTGTAGCACAGAGTTTCTCAACCTTTCCAGCCTTATGGACTGACCCGGGGGGGTGGGGGTGGCGGAGGGGATTGTTGTGTGAGCAGCCGGTACACCCACACCCCTGTTGCTCACGCAAATGGAACTGCATGCACGTGCACTCGCCTACTGTTTTCACAGCTTGGTTGCAAACCACTCACGGTCCACTAGTGGGCTGCAGCCCAGAGGTTGGGGACCCCTGGTATAGTAGAGTGATAGTTCTGTGGCCAACTTAAGACTGGAGGAGGAGAGAGGCGAGGTTCTTGAAGTTCAAGTTAGTGACCTGTACTGCCAAGTGGAAGTAATCAAAGTGGCATCATTTTTTCTTGGCACTTGTAATGTGTGAGGAAGATGCCAGTTATCTGGTTACAGGAAAGAGTAACATTTGAGATCTGAATACCATTTGACAGAAGATCGAACTTGAATTTTTCAGTTCATTGCACTCTACAGCCGCTGTATGTCACAATGACTTAACAAATAAGAACTAAACCTGATTTATTTGCCTGAATATAATGTAAGTGGTACATGGAGAGTGGAAAACTGATCTGTTTCTCTTTTAAAAAAATTGGTATTGAGATTTCTAATGTTGAAAGATCTCTATGTGAATGACATGTTTAGCCTGACAGAAGAGAAGAAGATTAAGAAATCTCCAAATATCATTGAGCCCTAGAGGAACTTTTTTTGTGGGTAGAGGTTATATACATCTGTTGTCAAATGGAAGTGTTTTTAATGATGCAATATGGAGACAGCTGTCTTCACTGTGCTATTAAAAGCATTTGCATCTGCATGTTAGCAGGCCTATACAGGGGAGCTGTCAGCAGGTAGAGAAGAATTAAGTAATCTGATTCCCATGAAAACTTTCCTCAATGTTTGCCAGGATCCTCACTTCCATCTGTTTTGCTTTAAAATTAATTTAAAGTATATAAATGGAAAGGTGCATGCTACCAATATACAGTGTACGTAATATACATATATTGTGGAGGGCCCACAGGCATCCTTAAAACATATAACTGTGGGTATGCTACCCAATTAAAAAAAGACAACTTTAAGCTATAATAGTAGGGAGAGTTTTATAATGCATCAAGTTCCTTGTAAATTAGTTTGTGCCTAGCCACAACTTCTGCAGCCATTTTCCAAGTGCCAGTGATAACGCTTTTAAAACTCTAGATGTGTCTGCCAATTCAAAAACAAATAGCAGTTAAGTGCTTATTCCCTTAGCTACATTGGAAGGAGTTTTGGAGTTGAAAAAAAATAGGATATCGAGTATCTTAAATCTTCTGTTTATTGGTTAGAATGTGTGTTTGCGTTTCTGTGTACAATTCTAAAGATCAGAGCTTCATTACAATGGCAGTAGTGACTATTCTGAAATTTCTAAAGTTAATACTTGGCTATGGTATTAATTATTTGAAAGATCGGTGTATTAACTTCAGTTTTATTTTGTCAAGGTTTTGGCCTGGTGAAATTGGATGTGAAAACTAAATCCACAAGTGGAGTGGTAAGTACTTAAGTAATAGTAAATAATAATGGCTAAGCTGTAAACGGATTTATCTTTTATCCTGAAAGGGGATACTTGAATCCTAGACAGAAGTATTTAAACATGAGAAGCGGCTTTCAAGAAACCTCTAGGAATACGAGGGACTAAAATTGGTTCCCCGGGGTATTCTGTTGCTTCTCCCACCCCACCCCACCCAATTTTCCTTTAGAGTGAGACAATCCAGATAAATGGAAGTGAAAGGGAAAGATAATGTTACTTGACATGTGCTGCCATGTCAGAAAGTGTGCTCTGGGTCCATTTCTTTTCCTCCTTTGTGGATCTCATCTCATTCTTTCCCGGTCTGCACTAATCTTAGTTGAATGGTATCCTAATGGGGCAAATTAAAGCTAGTCATAATTTGAAATAACATTCACAAATCTGGAAGATGAGCTGCATTGCTATTAGCACAAATTGGATTGCCATTAGAGCAATCCAGTAATAGATTATGGAACATTTTTCTTATTTTCCGATTCATGGTTGGGAGAGAATCTTAATTTAAGCCAGGATGTTTATCGTTACTGATTTCTACTATTATAAATCTTAACTTGGGCCCCATGTAATTGAGCTTCTATTCAATGACTATTCAGATGTACAGTAACGCTTTTTATAAGAAAGAGCTTGCACAAGCTTTAAGCCTACATGTTGCCTATGTCCTCAGAAACTTCTGATATTTGTCCACAGTTCTGTTGGAAGAAACAAATAGCGTTATATTACATATACGGACCAGAAATTCCCATGGTTTTTAAAAGTAGGGAAAAATACATCACATTTTATTTCAAACATGAACCAGAGATTACCGGTTAAAAATGTAGCATGGAGATATGTGATTTTACTTAGCTCATTCTTGGACTGCCAAACTCTGGTTTAGAGTCATGACTCCTTGGTCCCGTCCCGGCTATTTTCTGCTCTACATTTGACAGGAGTATTTGAGGTTTTTATAAAGTATGCACCAGTGACCTTTTAACATAAGTGAGTATAGAGTACTCTATTTTTCCAGATTGGTTACTAAATTGTAATAAAAGATGCTGAAATAAAATGGGATTGAATCAAACTATTGATAAAATATGTTTCTCTTGCTTTGCTAGGAATTCGCAACATCTGGTTCATCAAACACAGATACAGGGAAAGTGAATGGAAGCTTGGAGACCAAATACAAGTGGGCTGAATATGGTGTGACTTTCACAGAAAAATGGAACACAGACAATACTCTGGGAACAGAAATGGCAATTGAAGACCAGGTAACTTGTGTTTAAAGATTTAAGGAGAAATTACAGAGAAAATGCAGATAGTTTCTAGCTAACTTTTTTTCTCTCCTAAACTAGATTGCCAAAGGTTTGAAGTTAACATTTGATACAACTTTCTCGCCAAACACTGGGTGAGTGTCTCTGTTTACTCTGTCTTGACACATTCCAGGTAGGAGACTTCAATGTGAGAAAAGGATTAAGGAGGAAGATTGTTATTTATGACAGTGTTACAATCATGTTCATACAACATGTGGCTATTTGGCTTAGCACCTGCTTTCTGAGGCGGAAACAGAATTTATACCAGAAACTAGTTGATCCAAGACAGTGATACCTTATCGACCATGCATAACTGATATGGTTAACACCGGAAAATATCCAGTTGAAATATCCAGTTTCCTTTCTCTAGAAGTAGGTATAAAATGTAGTGGTGCATTTTTCTTGGCTTAAAAGAAAAAAAGGAAGGAAGCCTGTTTGAATTGCTTTGATTTCTACAGAGAAATAGTGGTGCATATTTATTTTTATATTATATAAATGATGTGCAATTTTGTCTAGGTTTGTTCGTAGAATCACTTGATTGTTCCAGTTTGCTCAATTGGTTGTGACAACTGGATGGAACTCTCTTCAGTTTTAATTTTTTTCCTGTAGACATAGCAAGGTTCTGGCATTGAGTAAACATTTTTTTTCTCTTCCTTGTCCCTTAAGGACATTGACACCATTGCTTTTTTGATGGTAGTTCTGCCTTATTTGTCCATAACTCAGAAGAAGAGATCCAGCTGACCTTTTATTATTTCTCTGCTAAAGATAAGATGTGGATTTTGTACATCAGACGGGAAAATCTTACTGTAGAATTTGTCTTTGCAGAAAGAAAAGTGGCAAAATCAAATCCGCTTATAAGCGTGAATGCATAAATCTTGGGTGTGACGTTGACTTTGATTTTGCTGGACCTGCCATCCATGGTTCTGTTGTCTTGGGTTACGAGGGCTGGCTCGCTGGTTACCAGATGACTTTTGATAGTGCCAAATCCAAGTTGACAAGAAATAACTTCTCTGTGGGTTACAAGACTGGAGATTTCCAATTGCATACCAATGTGTAAGTTTAAACCATATTGCTATTCACAAAGAGAGCCAGAAAATTAAACCTCTCTCTTGGCGAAGTAAGGTCAGTTTACTGGAGCTGATATCCTTGAATATTCCTATAGTACGTGGGGATTAATTGCTGAATAATTAACTATTAGAAAGGGTGATCAACACAGTAAGTTAAGTGACTTAAGTCATGTGCACTGTTCTCCTGTGTTAGCCAGAAACACTGAGAAGCTGGCTGTTTCTTCTGTCAGTCAGAGCAGCTAAATAAAGCATGGGAAATCCTGTTGTGTGGTTTGGTTTTACAAGGGATCTTTAGTTTTTATATCTTAAACTGAAGCTTTATGGTGGACCACTTCTGGATTTTTTTAAAAGAGAAATGGCACACATTTTAAAGAAATTGGAGTATAAATTGCAGTTGGAACTTTAACTCTATTAAGTAGCAAACTGCAGCTTTCCATGTCGTAGTAACCAAACCTTGAAATAAACTAAAATGGATATTTTGCTTTTATGAATGTCCATGCCTAAAAGAAGTAAGTATTTGCATATTGCAGCATATTTTTATGATACTAGAAATTTATTTATTTATTTATTTATTTATTTATTTATTTTTCAAATTTCTATACCGCCCTTCTCCTTTCGGACTCAGGGCGGTGAACAGCCAAGATAAAAACATCTATACATAACATCACAGTTAAAAATAAGTTAAAATAATTTATAAATTTGGCCCATAATTTAAAACTTGTCAATTAAAATCAATATTAAAATTTTAAAACTAACCCTAAAATCAAGACAGACTGGCTAACTGAAAAAAATAAGTTTTTAGGGCCCGACGAAAAATCCGGAGGTCGGAGATCACTCGTATCTCTGGGGGTAGATTGTTCCATAGGGTAGGTGCCACCACAGAGAAGGCTCTCCTCCTGGGGGTCGTCAGCCGGCATTGTCTGGCCGACGGCACACTGAGGAGGCCCTCTCTGTGGGAGCGAACCGGCCGGTGGGAGGCTATTGGTGGCAGAAGGCGGTCCCGTAAGTACCCTGGCACTAAGCCATGGAGCGCTTTAAAGGTGATCACCAACACCTTGAAGCGCACCCGGAAGTCCACCGGAAGCCAGTGCAGCTCGCGCAGGAGAGGAGTCACATGGGAGCGCCCCGTCGCTCCCATAATCCCCCGCGCAGCCGCATTCTGCACCAGTTGGAGCCTCCGGGTGTACCCCAAGGGGAGCCCCATGTAGAGAGCGTTACAATAGTCCAGACGAGAAGTGACGAGTGCTTGAGTGACCGTGCGTAGGGAGTCCCGGTCCAGAAAGGGGCGCAACTGGCGTATCAGGCGAACCTGACAAAAAGCCCCCCTGGCCACGGCTGTCATATGCCCTTCTAAAGACAGCCGCGCATCCTGGAGGACACCCAAGTTGCAGGCCCTCTCCGTGGGGGCCAATGATTCGCCCCCAATAACAAGCGATGGCGTCAGCTGGCTGTACCGGGACGCCGGCAGCCACAGCCACTCGGTCTTGGAAGGGTTGAGTCGAAGCCTGTTTCTCCCCATCCAGACCCGCACGGCCTCCAGGCACTGGGACATCACTTCCAAGGCATCATTGGGATGGTCTGGGGTGGAAATTCTTCATATTTTTAAGTTACTCTGGCCCAATTTTATAAGTTTGTTCATTTGATTGATATATTTGAAGCTTTTATATTTGGGCAAATAAACGTGGACACAGCAATTTCAGTTACTTTGATAGAGCAAAGAAATAAGAAAATATATAGAAAATAAGAGTATTTTTACCTTAAAAAAAGCTAACAGGTTGATCTTATAATCTTCTGTACAAGGAAAATATTGTTATATTTAATTTCTCGTTTATATATGTCTTTGGACTTTATTCCCATGATTATGCATTTTATGGATTTGTACATATTTGGACAAGTCTATGGCCTTGACATAATCATGAGATGAATGTTTGCAGAGCTGTTTCTTTGAAAATACTTCTTCCTTCTTCTGGTTTACATATGTGTAGACTATAGAAAGTACTTCTATCCCATTCTGTTTGCATTTGTTTGTGTGCACGGTTATTTTGATGCTGTCAGGTTTTCTGGCGAAACCTGGCAGATCTATATTTGACACATACCTGTATAGACTTTCTAGGAAACTAGCATTACTGCACTAATATTCCAAAACAGTTTTTATAAACTGCTTAAGAAAGATTTTGTTAGTATCTTTTCCCCCCCCATAAAGCTGACATGTTTTAGTGGGCAGAATTATGGTAAATGGGAAATTATGGGAACTCTTTCCCTTGAATTTGTTTTGTTTTATCATATCGTTTTGTGGCTAAAATATTTTTCAGCAATGATGGGTCAGAATTTGGTGGCTCCATTTATCAGAAGGTCAGCGAGAACCTTGAAACTGCCATAAATCTTAACTGGGTATCTGGTACCAATAGCACTCGTTTTGGAATTGCAGCAAAATACCAGCTGGATCCTACTGCATCCATTTCTGTAAGTAAACTAATTGCAACCCCAGTGCTAAATTCCTCTTTAAAGGAATACCTCATTTCAACTCTGACCTGGAAATGTTCTCCTTTATTGATTCCTCTTTAATTCACACTGAAAAGATCCCAGGCTGATGTGAAGCAGCCAGTATGCCTTTCTCATCCAGGGTTTGTGCTTGATTTTGTGTAATTCCCAGCCGTGCTTTGTAAGTTTTAGACACTTGAATACAAAGTTTTAAATGCCCAAGGACTGAATCATAGATTTAGTGTCTGGGGTTTTACAAATGATTGTGGCTTTTCCTGTGGGCTTGGCGCTGGATTAGTGATGGTGGGGATCTATCTGCTTTGGGTGATTTGTGATTATTTTGTAAAATGAAGTTCCTCATTTCATTCTCTTACCTCTGCTGTGAACCTGCTGAGTAATATTTGTCACGTGGAAATAACATGAATTTATCTAAAATTACAGTAAGCAATGCCGATTACAAACATGAATGTTCAAGGCACTTGTGCATCTTTCTAACGTTTGGTAAATCTCAGTCACCAAAAAAAGTGACATCTAAAAGTTAAGCAGGGTCCTTGGTGCTGAGTTTGGTTATATGTTTCATTCCTGTAGTAGCTAACTTCAGGGTTAGTGAGTGTGGGGTTTGCACCTTGTTCATATACAATAGCTTGCACCCTGTCAGTGTTGATGAGGGTGAGATTCCTTGATTGTGGCATTTTCTGTTTGATCGTCTGGCATAAATCCCTACTTATGTGGGTGTAGGCTTCTGGGAAGGATGTGTTTTGGTTTTTCTGTTGTTAGCTTTTTATTGTCTTTTTTGAATGGTGTGTATATATGGTTTATCTCTGTGTCTATTGATGTCTGATTAAATTAATGGGTAAGTATTGGGTGTATGCCAGCATTGAATTGAGATTTCTGACATGTGGGCTCACTTTAAATATATCATTATCCTTTGAATTTATATAAATTAAACATACCTGATTGCCATTGTAAATTCAAGGTGTAAGAAACTATGTTACACTTTTCTATTCAAGCAATAGAAATGGGGCTTTTTTAATGTCTGCATCTCCATTTTGAGCTGTGCCAATTATTTTCTCCTGTTTTATATAGGAATCAGGCATTTTGGGGCAGCCATGATGATTAGCTATCAAAAACCTATGGCTGCTTATCCTCCCTGTATGAAGCATTTTAAAACCGCAGCTTGTAGTTTTGCAGCTGGTTTGTAACTATTTCCAAACTAAGATCTCGGCTGTCTCCTCTCTGAAATTAGAGAACAGTATTCAATTTAGCTAGCCAGGCTGGTAGAAATCTGCAGGCTTTGCCTTGGGTATGTGTGGTTGAACACTTAACATAAATACAATTCCCCATTCCCTTTACGGAGGAACAGGGGCACTGGTCTTTTTGGCAGTCCATTGTATCTGCTTTCCTCCTATGACTTGGAGTCCAAAAGAAGAAGCAGAAGTGGTTGTACATACAGCTAAACCAGAGCTAAAATTGTGGCCAGGAAGTGTTGGGTCAGGAGAGGATCTGGGATTTATTATTTCCTTCTGCAGTTCAGATGTTGGGACGAATTTCAAGGTCTCTTTATACACTATAGAGTTTGGCTCTCTTGTTCCATTAGCATGGGTTACCTACAGTCAGGGTGGATTTGATTTAAATCGGGTTGATTTAAATCACAATTTAAATCACGATTTAAATCACTAGTAAAAAGGCTTGATTTAAATCAACTCGATTTAAATCATTTTTAAAGAGCAACTGTCATCTCTGCTACTCCTTTGACCCACTGTTGACTCACCGATAGTCCCAGTGTTGCAGAATATACAGCCTCATGTGACATAACAAAGCTCCATTTCATGCTGAATAAACTAAATTATTTATGTATCTTAAATAGAAAACTATCTTACAATAGATTTTTACCCCAAAAGTTTTTTATTAAAATAAATTCGATAAAAATCAAAAAAATCCGATTTAAATCAAAAAAATCTGATTTTTTTGATTTTTTTAAAAAAATCATTGATTTTTATCCACCCTGCCTACAGTCAAGGTTGGAGGCTTTCTTCCTGAATTTAGAACAATATCCCCTGAACTTTTCTTGGGACAAATAGGGTTATTTTGATCCACATTGTTTCAAAGAGCCATTGTGTGATTGGCTTTTTTTTTTTTTTAAGTTGTGTGCTATTAAATCAATAGCAAACATAAACCACATCCCTCCTGCCATTAGCGACTTAAGGAAAGGTAGAGTAAGGATATGAACAGAGATTTGAACTCTACTTTAAAAGAAAAGTTATGCTGTGTGTTGAAGTGGAACCATCTGCTACTATTTTGTGCTTGGTTCAGCTCTTTTTCTTTGCAGGTGTACGTTGCAGAAGAGATGTTTGTTGCTTACATTTGTTTGCTTTGTGTATTCTAAGACTTTATAATTTTTAAAAAAACTATAGCTAATTTTTAGATTGTACCATTCAGAGTGGATTACTAACTGTAAAATGAGAGTTTGGGGGATGGAATATTTTGCCCATTTGGAGCTAAATGCCACAAACTACTTCCTGTTTTGGAAAATTTGCTTTGGAAAACTATTAAACCATTCCCATAACCACAGGATAAGCATGGGCCAGAGGAAAAGCAGAAATTTCCATCCTGGGAATTCTATCCTGGAAACTTTGAATGTTTGTGGCTTGCTGGTCGGCCTACTTGAGGACTTTCAAGAGCGTCAGTGGTGACTTACGTTACTATAAATAGGGGAAGAATCATGCTTCAATCCAAATGGAACTGTCCCATTGATAAAACACCATGAGGCATGCCACTCTCCTGCTAAACAAGAACAAAGATATCCATAGAAATGAATGGGAACCTGAGAATATACATGCTAGAATAGGTTTTGGCTCAATCCAGATTATACTATTAACAAGCCCAAGAATAACACTGGCTGGAATTGATACAGAATGGTATTTAACTGGCTCAAAGTTTATGAGATGTAAATACCCAAATCCCCATTCATTCTCTCATATATATATATATATATGTGTGTGTGTGTGTGTGTGTGTGTGTGTGTGTGTGTGTATGTAAAACAAGCAAATATGGGTGAAGTGATATGTGTGCCTTGCAAATACGGTAAATTTCAATCTTTGACGGGATTCTGTAGGTTACTTTAAATATGATAGAATTGAAAGAAGGATGTTACTTTGCTTGTCATTTGCTTTGCAGACAAAAGTGAACAACTCTAGTCTAATTGGAATTGGCTACACTCAGTCCCTGAGGCCAGGTAAATATTTGCTAAAATAAGACTGCACTTTTCACTATGACAGTCTTAATTTTTATGTTTGAGAAGCTCTGACAAACTGGATGTAGATGTTAACCAGAGGTGGGTTTCAGCAGGTTCTGACCAGTTCTGGAGAACTATTAACGGAAATTTTGAGTAGTTCGGAGAACCAGGAAATACCACCTCTGACTGGCCCTGCCCCCATCTATTCTCTGCCTCCCAAGTCCCAGCTGATCAGGAGGAAATGGGGATTTTGCAGTAACCTTCCCCTGGAGTGTGGTGGGAATGGAGTTTTTACAGTATCCTTCCCAAGCCACACCACACCCACCAAGCCACACCACACCCACCAAGCCACGCCCATAGAACTGGTAGTAAAAAAAATCTGAATCCCACCACTGAAGTTAACCAATATTGAGGTGAAATAGCTGTTAACTTATACATAGGCTTAATATGTTTTTTAAATGCATCTGTACTTAAAGACAACTGATCCATCTGTTTGAAGGGGTCTCCTTGTATTTGAAAAGACATGCTGTTTATTACCAGAAAGTGGGCAATACTTGTGTGAAGGCACAGCAGAGAGGGTATTTTTTATCTTCTAGGACCTTTTTGCTTTCTATCCTACGAACTTATATGTTTACACCTAAAAGAGTTAAAAATGGTTGTCTGTTGCTACCCAGATTTTGCCTGAGATGATTTGCCAGAAACTATGCAACAGGAAATTTATTTACAACTCTAGTTCATTATATTTCTGTGCAAGCTGCCCTGCAGGAGAACCCCCAGCTGTAAAGACAGGAATGCCCTTCTGTTAGAGATTCTTGCTTTTTTTTAGAAGACGAAGTCCTTTGCTCAGTACCTTGTTTCCTTTTGACTCAGAGGAGGGGGGATCTTTTTCCTGCCAGGCCCCAGAGCATCAAAAATTGGCAAGAGTATGTCTGTGAAAAAGGCCAAAGAAAATATTGCAAATATTTCTGTCTCTCTGGCCTTTTCAAGAATTAGTATTTCATATTCCCATTTCTAAACAGCTCATCCCCCTCCTAGAGATCAATAAATACCATTGCTTCAGAGTTTTCCCAAATTTTTACATTTGTAATAAATGATAAAACATTTAGAATTTGAAGTGTTCCGATTCATGCTCAGAAATTTGTAAAACAACTATAAAGAGTCCATTTCATTTTTCAGCGGTTTTTTGTTTTTGTTTTTGTTTTTGGCCTTTCCTCCTCCCCTTTTTTGGGGTTGAAGCCAGCACTGAATCTCCTAAATATTTTGGTCACACAGTCCCGGATACCTCCTTCAATGAATTGAGGTCATAATTCTTTTGGGTAATCTGCCAGGGTTCTCAGTCAGTAGCATGTAGAGCTTAGTAAATATGTTGGCAAGAGAATATTTTATTGATAATCAAAGAGGTGGCATTCTTTCAAACAATTCTTTTGTATCCTCAAAGCGATACTAAGTTTTGTATTCTTTCCTCTCTCTCTCTCTCTCTCTCTCTCTCTCTCTCTCTCTCTCTCTCTCTGGGACGCCCCTTGAATCAATGAAAGGAACTTCCAGGCTGATGCAAGGGATGGGGAAAAAAAAAACCCAGCCAAAAAAAGGGAGGCTAGAAGGATGAAGGGGAGGATTAGACTGACAGGTTTGGGCAGCATCATCTGCTAAGGGAAAGTTAGACGTGATAGAACCTGCTTTTAATTGTGTTTTCTCTGCAGGTGTGAAGCTCACGCTGTCTGCCCTGGTGGATGGGAAGAACATCAATGCCGGTGGACACAAACTTGGTCTTGGCCTGGAATTGGAGGCTTAAAGGCGTGAAGAAAACTGCTGCAGAAAATGGGGATAGCGGAAGAATATGGCCTTAAAAATGTAATTCCAGTATGACTTGGAGGGGTTTTTTCCCTCCTCAGTGGGATGCCCTAGAACAAGAGCTGTATTAAGAATATTTAGGCAGTTCCTTGTTAGCTGGTTTTAGTTAAATTGGTTCTCTATCTAGTTCTCAATTCTGCATTAGTGCAGTAACTACATAATACATTATTTAAATGTATTTAACTGTTGGATGCGGTACCCACAAATAATGAAATAGACTTTATGAAACCTGTACACATGTGTGCATGTTATGTTTCTTTTAACACATGGTAGCCCATTGAAATAACAAAACGGATCAATGGATGTTCTGAAAAGCGAGGCCAGCAATTTTGTTAAATCACCTTAAATTAGAATGACTTTTGGTATCCCAAGGCAATTCAGAATTATGAATAAACAAATACACACACATGCTCGTGCCTCCAGATATGTTAAGTTATTGAAATGTAAAGCTGAAACACCCACTTTCCTCTCCCTGTAAGATTTGCTTGTAAAGCTGCCTGTTACTCTCAGCACAACTTAGCTTTTCAGTGATAATAAGTGCAAGTTTGCTTAAGCTGTTCAGATCCATCCTGGGAACTCTTCTGAGGTAACGGGGGACTGTTTGACGACACTACTGTAGGCTTTCGAAGCAGCTAGTCTTGGATTTAGATTAGGTGCGCGCAAGAATTCAACATGTACACAACAAGGGGTGGTAAGTCCATCCTGCTGAAATTTATATCTTTAAAAATAACCATAAAATAAGTATTTCTGTATAGTGCCAAGAGCAGTGATGGTGAACCTTTTCGGCACCGAGTGCCCAAACCAGAATGCCCGTGCATATGTGCCGGAGCACCGGAAACCAGACGACCAGCTGGCTGGTGTGCACATGCCTGTTTTTGGCCGTTTTCAGGATTGTTTTTTGGCTGTTTTTTGGCTGTTTTCCGAGCCGTTTTCCGGGCTGTTTTTTTGCCGTTTTCAGGCAGTTTTTCAGGACTGTTTTTTGGATGTTTTCCAAGCCGTTTTCCGGCAGTTTTTCAGGATGTTTTCTGGGATGTTTTCTGAGCCGTTTTCAGGCAGTTTTTTGGGCCGTTTTCAGGGCTGTTTTTTGGCTGTTTTCCGAGCCGTTTTCAGGCAGTTATTTGGGCTGATTTTGGACCATTTTATGGGCCATTCTTGGCCCGGGAAAAAGGCCTAAAAACTTGCCTGGAAAATGGCTGGAAAACTGCCTGAAAACTGCCCTGAAAAGAGCCCGGAAAACTGCCTGGTTAATGGGCGTTTTAAGTCCGTTTTCCGGTGATCCAGTATCCGTGAAGACCAGCTGGCCAATGTGCATGTGCGCAACGGAAACCAGAAGAGCGTGCCCACAGAAAGGGCTCAGCAAAGCTGGCTGAGGAATTCTGGGAAATGAAGTCCACAAGTCTTAAAGTTGCCAAGATTGGAGACCCCTGCTATAAGTTCTCTGCCATGATAGGAAAAATTCTTGTGTAAATTCCCAATCCTTTGCTTTCATCACAATCTTCTTCCCAGGTTTTGTCTATTGTATGGGAGACTGCTGCGTATTTGCCTGAATGGGGAAAAAAATCATATTCAGTTGTGTTACGTTCACTTTCGTACTACTGACAGGTAGCTAAGCATTGTCCCATTATTATAGGAATGTGAGCTGGGGAGCTGAGAATAGCTAGTTGTTAGAATTGACATACATGGTTGAGGCAAGCTTTCGAACTAGGAATCTCTTTAGGGAGTTTGGGAATATAGAACTATTTAAAACAAAGCCACTTTGTTTCCATGTTTATTTTTAACATCAAGGCTAAAAAAAAGGAGGGATTTCAATTTACGACCTGAATTTCCCATAGCTGTGTGTGTTTTTCTGATGTCTTCATTGACACATGGTTAAGCAGGCTATATGGCATCCTTGCTCAAACCACCTAAGGCAGCTTGGCTGTCTCAGGAATTCTGGGAGTTGAAGTCCACAGGTTGTAAAAGAGCCACAATTGCCCACCCCTGACCTAAGGCACAAACCCACTCAGAATGGGCTTGAAGGTCACATGAAGTGAAAGCAAATAAACGACAGTTTAGTAACTGTATGTGAAAATCGCTTTTTTACCAGACAACTTTAGAACCAGAAAGTCAGCTTCCCAATTGCCGTAGGAAATAATAATAATACATTATTAATTTGCCCCAAGGCCTGTGCAAAAGGGCTATTTCAACTTGCTCAGAAATTGCATCAAGAAGGAAGCTGTAAAAAAAAAACTCAGTCGAAATGTTTCCAATGAGGAAACTTGATTTCATGTTTCTCTCTCTCCCCAGTTTACAAATGGGCACGAAACGAGACCCCCAAAGTGAGCTGAGGGGAAACAAGACTTTTGGGGAGAAAGTCCTTAGGGCAGGGGTCAGTAACCTGCGGCTCTGGAGCCACATGTGGCTCTTTCACCCCTCTGCTGCGGCTCCCTGTCACTCAAAATATGCATCATAACCGCCAATGTGCAACACCCGCTGGCATGCGATTTATTGACCTTTTCAACCCCTGGTAGGCCAACCATGGATAAATCCAAAAAAAGAAAAGTTTCAGAAAAAAACAACGTTTAATTCAACTACATATGCTTGTTTTTTGGCCGCTCAAGAAATAGTCAGGCACAGGAAGAGTTTTGTGGCTCCCGGTGTTTTTTTTTCTGTGGGAAACAGGTCCAAATGGCTCTTTGAGTGTTTAAGGTTGCAAACCTTGCAAACCTTGATCTGGGGCCAGAGGGAGGTGCAAGTAACAAAGCCTGCATTGCAGTTCACCCCTGTCTCTAAATCTATTTGCAGGCAATGCCACAATGCAAGGAAGGAAGGGCGGAGTTTATGTGTAGTGCCATGCTGCACATTTCATTTTTGGCATTATTGCAGTTAGGGAAAAACTGCCTGAGTTGCGATATTGACTAGTTTTATTGAATTAGACCTTCCCCGGGTTTTCAGCTGACATTGATTAGGATGGCTAGGAAATTTTGGTCAACACAGCTAGAGGGAAATTAAAGCAATTTAAAATACCTGAAGCCAGTTAGAAATTCTGGTAGAAGAATATGCTCTGCCTTTCAAAATGGCTGTTCACGGAAAGCCAGTTGTTTCTCAACTGTTGTTCTGTTGTGTCATGTCATTCTGAAGTCCCCAAGGGCTCCAGGTGTCTATGGACATGTATCTTGATGCCCACTGGCACCCAGGTTTAATTTTTTTTTTAAATGTAAATTCTTACATGTCTATGGAGACTCTCAGCCATCCAGGTCATGGTTGTGGACTTTCTGGTTTTTCTTTGAAGACGTTTCACTTCTCATCCAAGAAGCTTCTTCAACTCTGACTGGATGGTGGGGAATGGAAGGATTTATACTCCTTGCAGACAGTTGGTCATTTGCTAAAAGAATGCAAATGACCAGCTCCTTCCATTGCCCACCATCCAGTCAGAGCTGAGGAAGCTTCTTGGATGAGAAGCGAAACGTCTTCAAATAAAACCAGTAAATCCAGTTGGATTAAATTCCTTACATTACAATAACAGATCATAGTATTTTACTGGAGCAAACTCGGGACAGGTATTACTAAAAAAAAATTAGTAAAGGTTTTCCTTGCACTCTGAAACTGAAAAACAAATTATGTATTTCCCCTATCCATAAACCAATAAATAAGATCAAAATGGAATATACTAAAGATAGGGGGAAATAGATGAAACAAAATCAAAATAGCCTTCAAATAGCAATAGCCCTTGCACAATATTTAGCTAGTTTTCTGGATGTTTCACAAAAAGACATTGGCCAAAAAAAAAAAAAAGGATTATTAAGTCTAAATGCCAACCTGCATAAAAAGGCTCACACAATAAGACAAAGGGAACAGATTCAGTGTCTCCCAGTCTCCTAATTAATTAGTCTTGGATTCAGGTATTGTAATGGGTGTCCAATCTTGGCAACTTGTGGATTTCAATTCCCAGAATTCCCCAGCCTTAAATTTGCCAAGGTTGAATACCACTTATATGTCCCTTTTAATAGCAAGAAGGGCAGGGAAGTTGGGTGGTTCATTTGCCAGGGTACGAGGTTTCCTCGTAGGCTACTGTGGATAACTATTTGTCTAGGATGGCAGGATTCTTTTGACACGGTAGGAAGTTGGAGTAGATTACCTCCAAGTGTTGTGGCCTGCAGAGCTGGCAGCAGAGTCAGACAGTTAGGAGGTTGGGGAGGAACATGGGCCAGTCCTGAAGTCTGGGGAAGGCTCAGGCAAGGGCTCTGCGTCAGAGGCAGAGAGGGGGCCAGGGCCATCTGGTAGTTATGTGCTACCTCCGGAGCCTCCGGAATCTCAGTGAGGCAGAAGAACACACTGTGCCCAGTGTGCTCATGCGCAGAGCTGCCAGAAGGCAAGAACAATTAAGAAAAAAAAGGCGACTCGGGAGGAAGGCTTGGAGATGATTGGCCCCTCCCATCAGACATAAAAGAGGAGCAAAGGTACGTGAGCCTTTGCAGGAAGCAATTAGTTCATATAGTCAAGCAAAACTAATTGGCAATTAGGTCTCTGGTAGAGTTTCAAGGGAGATAAAGGTGGGTGCTTATCAATATTACCCTGAAAGACTGTGTCAACTCGAGCAGACATCTGTCGGAATCTGCACAGACTGTTTGTGAATCATTACGGGCTGTGAATGACCATAATTCACAGCCATCTCAATAAAAGGTTTTTTGGGACTAAAATTGTGATTTATGCTTTCTCAGGAAGCCTAGGTCAGAACACCGAGGTCCCTTTCCAGTCACAAAGAGCATCAATCCGAATTCTTTTGAATCCCAATTGGTGCTCTCCAGCCCTAGCAACCATACACTGAAGTGAGAGGCCATTTTGTCAAAAGTTGAATTCGATCCTTTCCCTAGGTGAAATAAAAGTTATTCCTGAGAGCCCCCGAGCCAATGAGTCTTTTGTGAAAAAATCAAAGTGATCAATAATGATTTTAAAAAACCCCTAAGGCCCATACAGAAGCCAAGTCTGCTTTCAGAGTGGTTGGACAACAGCTCTTCAGACGTTTTATTTATTTATTTATTGGTTCGATTTATATGCCGCCCTTCTCCGGAGACTCAGGGCAGCTTACAATGCGTTAAGCAATAGCCTTCCTACTTTTGTATATACCTGCTTAGTAGGGCTTTCGGGCCCTCCTAAGCGGTGTTTTTTTTTATACAAAGTCAGCTTATTGCCCCCACAAACCGGGTTCTCATTTTACCTACCTCGAAAGGATGGAAAGCTGAGTCAACCTTGAGCCTGGTGAGATTTGAACTTGCAGTAATTGCAGGCAGCTGGTGTTACTTAACAGCACTTTAGTCTGCTGCGCCACCAAGGCTCTTTATGGATGTGAATCGGAAGGGGACTGAACTGCTTCAGGGAGAAAAACTCAAGAGATGTTCTCCCATGCATGGAGCAGGTTGCAAAGTGTGGC